CTATGGAGTTAACCGGTGTAATGGCCACCGGTGTCGCTAACAAGGGTTTCTGAATTCTACATAGAGCCCCTTTAACAGCTAAATATGAGCATTTTTAGGAGTTAATCTTCATTGTTGACAGTGAAATTGCTTGATCCATCCTCTTGAGTAGGACTAGGCAGTATGACAATATAATATTGTTCCACAGGACTGCTTAATTTTTGACGCGTTGGAGCGATAAAGAAACATGAATAAAAAATAAAGCATATACATGCTTGATGGTATGGCACGTAAACAGTCGGTTGTGTCTTATGTGAACATATGTAATTAGAAGAAATATGGATCGATATATTGGATCCATGTGTACGTCTTAAAGTGACAGCAGCCTAACATACCTGCTGCTGTCTTTATCCTTTATTGTAATCAGACAATAAGACAGAAAATAACTCCCTGCTCTTGACTGAATTACTTAAGTAGCTTTAACAATGATCAATCTACATTTAATTAATAGAGTAACGACTATGCCGTTTTTTTTTTTTTTACATTTGATTATTTCTGTTATTTTTTTACTAAAATGCTACTGTTAGACTACTGTACATGAATAACAAAGGATTTTTATAATAATCTTTTTCATTTATATCTCTTTCCTAAATTGTTTTAGTTCTGCTGTTTGTTATTTGCATCTTTGTGCTTATTTTTTACTAATAACAATCAAATAAATTAAAAATAACTATATTGTGATATACATTGTTATATGAAATAGAATTTTTGGTCATACTGCCCACCTCTTGAGGATAAAGATAGCATTTTTCATTACTAAATTTTCTGTCTATAGAAGGTCAGTTTTGTGTGTCTTCTTAAATTAAAAGTTTTACAATATGAAGAATAAATTAAGCTGAAGTAAATAGACTCCATCCTGGCTAATGCTCAAAATTATTTTAGTGTCTAGTGTAAGGGTTAAAGAATATGTTGTTTATAAGTTGTTCAAGGAGAGGAAAGTGCTTCTCTTTCTCTTATGTGTGTATCTAACTCCACTATTACTAAATGTGTTGTATCTTACTCTAATGTAATGGCACTGTCTCTTGCACTTCAAGTGATTACTTGTAAATATTGTATGCATTTTTGTATTTTCAAATTACAAATTACTTGTATTTTAATTAAATATATTTCTCACACCAGTATTTTGTATTTTAATTAAATACATTTGATGAGTAAGTATTTGTAACAAAATACTTTTTGATGTATTTGTGCCCATCTCTGTATACACACTGACTATAAAGAGCATTTTAAATAGGTTGTATGGTCAGTATTTCTTGTTCTGTTTTTGAGCTTGGGAACAGCTTGCCAAAACCCAAGCAACAGTGCAAAATCCCAGGAACTGGAAGGATACGACTAACTCAGAACTGTGTATGAACATTAAAAAATCCCCCATGACTGATATATAGGTGCATCTCAATAAATTAGAATGTCGTGGAAAAGTTCATTTATTTCAGTAATTCAACTCAAATTGTGAAACCCGTGTATTAAATAAATTCAATTCTGTGTGCATTGAATTTATTTAATACACGAGTTTCACAATTTGAGTTGAATTACTGAAATAAATGAACTTTTCCATGACATTCTAATTTATTAAGATGCACCTGTAGGTAGACTAGTGGTAGAGTTCATATGTATGAATATGTTGAATGGATTTGGTTGGGTGCTTAGTGTTCTGATTAGTGTGGCCTCATTTTTTGGGAATGAAGTGTACCTCAACAACATAACTCAAGTGGCTGGAATTCCTCGGTGTTTTTCTTAAGTGGGGATCCTTCCGTAGGGCCGTTACCATGACCGCTCAAGCAATATGATCTCTAATAGAAGAAGAGTAGCTGGTGAAATGCTAGTCTCAAAGGAAAAGCAAAGACTGCTGAATTAAAGGAATATTCTTGGTTATTCAACCTAATGGTATGCATTGTGTTATTCTTTAAATTACCACTGACACAACATTCAAAATCAACACTCACAAATCCCCTAATGTGAGTTACACTGGCTTTAGTGAGTAATAATAATAATAATTAATAAAGATAATAATAAAAAATAAATTAATGGATTTTAATAAATCAAAAATGAAAAAAAAAAATAAAAATAAGAATTTGATAAAAATGTAATGATATATATATCATTATAAAAATCTATATTTGTTATTTATATTTTTAATTAATTTATTAATATTTTATACTAATTAATTAATATTTTATTTGTTTCTATTTGTTTTTAAACCTGTATGTGGCATTACATGCCCATGAGCAAAGGTAGCAAGATTTAAGTTGCATACTTTAGGGGGTCTTTCATCAGCCAAATAACCGCTTTTGAGAATGGCAGTCCTCACGGATAACTCTAACCAGCTATTACACTCCGTCTTGGTTTGTACAGCTCCAAGAAATGTTTTAAAAGCATGTTTGCGTGTGCATTTGTAGGTGCCGAGTGTGTTCAGAGAGCAAAGAGAGGCTGTTCCCCCACTTTGAAAGCTCCAGTTCCCTGTACAGCGCTAATGTGAGCCAGTACAGCAGTGAGTTAGAGGGTAAGACCATCTGCTGCCTGCTTGTATAAAGATTGTCTGTGTCATCTCATTAGAGACCTGTTACTGGGATCACACTGTGCTGTGTCTCTCTATGGGGTTTATATATGTTGTACGTCTGTATTTGACCGTTGTCATGTAAGTACCAAAGTGTGCTTAGGTAGACCTACAGTACAAAGACATTAAGCACTTGTGATGTAGACTATTAAGAAAAAAAATGGTAAGATGATTAAATGATATTAGGATCCTGAACTTTTTACAATTGTTTTTATCCCAGGTGAGTGGGTGACTATTGAAGGCAGGTTCAAGTGTATCTCTCTCACCTGTATATCAAGCTCATGTCCACGGAGCCCAAAGGGTCTTTCACCGTCCGCCCACCTGGCCGATGGGACAGCTGACCTCATCCTGGTGCGAGAAACAAACTCTCTGGGCTTTCTCACATACCTTCACAGGCACACAAACATACAGGATCAGGTAAAACCAAATAACATTCAAGTACATAAGCTAAAAACTAAAAGTTGAGTCAGTCAGAAAAACAAAACTTCTATCGTTTCAGTTTGACCTGCCCTTTGTTGAAGTTCATCGAGTCAAGGCTGTTCGGTTTTCTTTACCCCCTGGAGAGGAAGAAGAAGAAGAGGAGGAGGAGTATGAGGAGGGTGATCGAGAAATTCAAGCCTCCACCGAGAGTGTGCTGGAAGATCCTGAGAAACTGTGCTGTAGTAACACTGCAGGTCACTCACAGCAGCATCACACAGGGAGGAAGGAGAGAGGAAATGTGACAACGAGTAGAGTAAAGAGACGAGGCTTTGTGTGTGGGCCTTGCGGCACTAAACCTCGCTCGGTATCAGTGTGGAACTGCGATGGAGAAATTCTGCCTCACACCGAAATCTCATGCAGGTACTGAGATCAGTCTGCTGAGCAAGTCAGCTATTTAATTGGAAAACTAACACAAAAATATATATATATATATATGTGTGTGTGTGTGTGTGTGTGTGTGTGTGTGTGTGTGTGTGTGTGTGTCAAGTGCTTAATTTAACATTTAAAACCATTTAAATGCTGACATTTATATTGAAAAATTACACTACATCATTAAAAGTTTGTGATCAGTACTATTTTTTTCTTTTCTTTTTAAGAAATACATTTTATTCGGCAAGGATGCATTAAATTGATCGAAGTGACAGTAAAGACATTAATAAATGCTGTTCTTTTGAAATTTATATTCTTCAAAGAATCCTGAAAAAAAAAATGGTTAAAAATATTACTAAGCAACACACCTGTTTTCAACATTGATAATAGGAAATTTTTGTTAAGTGCCAAATCAGAACATTAGAATGATTTCTGAAGGATCATGTGACGCTGAAGACTGGAGTAATAGCTTTGCCATCATATCATATATATCATAAAAAAAAATATTTAAATAGAAAAGGGTAATTGTAAATTTCATTATATTACCGGTTTTATTATACTTTTGATCAAATAAATGCAGCCTTTGTTAGTATGAGAGACTTCTTTTAAAACAATAAAACATATTTTGACCTCAGATGTTTGAACAGCAGTTTACATGTTTATTATCTGGCTCCAATGAAGTAAGCAAATCATATGAAATTTGATATATGATGTCAAGTCGAAGTTTATGAGTTTGAAACCAAAAACTTCTCATTTGCATCTTCTCATTTGAATGTATGATATGACTCTCTTTCAACAGAGTTCATGGCCAGCTGGTGCGTCTCTTTGCCAGGGGCATCGAGGATTCAACAATGCCATGAAACCTAGCTAACAAAACAGATATGATCAACCTAACAGATGACCTCTTTATTGCATTCTTCATGAGGACTTCATTGTAAGGGAGATATAATATCAAGAATAGAGATATTAACATATGTGGGTGATGGATCAGTTTTAGATCTGTCATAATATTGTTAATTTCACTGATTTTATAGCTTTTTTTGCAGTGCAAAAAAGTATGCAACATTTTAGTGCAATCTGACAGATAATGTTAACTGTTGGGTCACGTTTATTTAATTGAGGTTTTGCACATTAGTGAGAGCACTGGTTTGTCTGTCTAGGGCTTGTGCATGGGAGTGGCGGTCACAAACAAGAGTGAATGACATGTTTTAAGGGATTGGACTCATTCCAGTCAAGTGGAATGTACATAGACAGGATGTCAATGGGTTTGATGTTCAAAATCATGAATTAATATATGTGTGTTTGTCCAAATAAAGTGTCATGAATGTATACAAAAGTCGTCTTACCTTGATATGCTTGAAAAGTTATATTTACTTATCAGATGCACTACATACACTACATTAACCCTCTAATGCATCGTGGTCACTACAGTGGACAGCTATTTGGAAGCCATTTTGAACCATTTAAGATGTAGCATCATGTCCCAACCACCAACTGGCGAACCCCCAAAGTGTTGTCTACGATTCCATTTAATTGTTGTCTTTTTATCTATTTTTTTGTTTTGAGATATTGCATAATATATTCAAAATGGCGGCAGGAAAAGGGGATGCACCATGTACCTC